TACATAGGGACTTCCAGATTGGTGTGGCACGGATTTGAACCAAACAATTTTTGGTGATTCTACACTTTAAAATAGCGGACATGTATCTGCCGCTTATTGTGAATAGGCTTTGGTTTCGCAAAACAAATTTTCAAGTTGAAATTTTCCGTTTTTTCGCCGTTCGACTTGCTCAAATTAACTATGTATATGTACCTTTTTTCAGCATTTTGTATGTATTGCAATAAAAATGAAGTAAAAGCTATCAGAGTTATCAATAACCAAAAAATTTCTGAAAACCAAATATTTTTCAAGTAAATTAGGTCGTAATTTTTTTTCGTGAAACTAATATGAAATTTCGTATTAGCACCTCCAGCGATCCCTAAATATCAATTTTTGTATGAATTTAAATTTATCGATTTTTTGACCCCTAAAAATTTTCCGATTTTTGAGAAGTCGTTATCGGAATATCTGATTGAAACGGCTAGAATTCAAAAATAACTAAAAGGATTTTAACGTCAAAGGGACCATTTGATAGAAGACACAAAATTGTCAAATTATTTGTCAGTAATTATCCTCGTTAAAAAAAAGAAAGAATAATAGTCCGCTTTGATACAGTTATAAAATGCACTTGACAATTTTTTTAAAAGGAATTATCAATCATGAAAATCCACTAAACTTTGAGAAAAATGATGTTAGAGCTAGCACTAGGAAGTCAATGACGGTCGTCGAAATGATCAGTCAAAAGATTAATTTCTAAGCATCTAAGGGTTTTATAACGCTATAATCACAAATCCAAGTTTTGCACATTTTCTGACCTACTTTCCTTACAGAATATTTGTTAAAATATGCAAAAAAGCAGTAGAGCATTTCATTTTAACTTTAACCTACAAAGAAACCAACCAATACACCAACAATAATATTTTTTAATCTCTAAATAACGATTTATGCACATTTAATTGCCACTAAAATTAGATTTTGAAAAAAGCTTCATTAGGAATTCTACTAAGTCTATTTGTAATAACCGCGTTTTACCTAGATTAAAATTTAACTCACAATTTATTCTATCACTGATTGCTTTTCCGGTGTTTTGTGGACATTCCTTCCAAACTATCATAATTAAATATATTTTTATTAAAACTTATGAACGTCTGATCTCGTTTAATTTGGTTTGTATTAAAATAAGTATGTTGTAATAACTATAACGTTATAAATATATACATATAGTTTGAAATAAACAACAAAATACAAGTGTCCGGTTTTTTGTCTTTGAGGGTATTATTCTTTTTGATTATTTTAAATAACTTAATAGGATTTTTCTCAAGACGATCATATTCTTGATATTCTATCAAATATCGATGAAATAAACCTAAAAGAAAATAATTTGTACTAGTTTATTGAGTTTCTCTGAACTCTCAGATAAATTATTTAATAATATAAATATTTTATATTTATCTTTCCAGTTTCACTTTCGATGTTTTATCATGCGGAGAACAGACGATCGACGATTCACAAGAGTGATTTCAACGTCGTAGAAACGAAGGTGGTACTCGAATACCAACAGCAAGTCACTCTAGTGTAAATATAATTAAATCTTGTACGCGTAGATTTTTTTTTCTCGAACGTCTATCATTCCTTGAAAATTGAACAAAAAAATCCGTTAGACCACTAGACCTGGTTGGAGATTTTCGGTAGAACACACGAAATGTAGAGAGGTGTTCGCCGAGGGGTCAAGAAACTATAAGACTGGGCCTAAAACTGACATCAGCCTTGCTTACTGAATCGCCTGGGGACTTTAATGCATTAAGGGAGCGTTTTAAAATGTTTGATGTTTTCATTTTTTGTTGACGAACTCGGTGAATTAGCCCGTTGCAAAATATTTCACAAAAATCATGGAATTTGAGCTAAATTATTTATTAAAAGTTAGGTATCCAAGTTCGGGCACACAAATAACTTGTGAATCTATTCCAAACACATACCCACGTTAAAACTTACGAATTTTACATTTGACTCATCAGCAATAAGTTTCGAATATACCAAAGTAGCCATTATCTATATTCCTAAAAAAAACACTTAACTTTTTCCAATGTGCAAATACTAGTTAAAATAGATTTTATCTAGATAGTTATAAATTATCCCGATATAATTAATATAATACAATATAATTAATATTAAAATTGTTTATTACAAGATGAGGGATAAGGTTTATTTCCAAGAAAAGAAATACACTCAGTTCCTTCTTCAAGCTTTCGAGGAATATATCCATTTCATCAGGACTTTAAACAATTATTAATACTTCACAAAGTTAGCAATATGATCATATGATAAGCAGATCTGTATGTAAACCTTATGAAGAATTAATAAAAGTGTCTAAGTTCTAGATTTATGCAAGATATATTTCTCGAAAGCATGAAGCATCTTCTTTTTTCTTTTCCTTAATTTTCTTTTGTATTTCGTTTTAGTGTAAGTATTCTAACAAATTTTTATTTTATGTTGAAGTTTCGTTTGGTAATAATTTTTAAAAATATGGCAATAAATGAAACTGTCTCTATCGAGTTTAAAAAATATTCTTGTATAGACTCAGGGTATAAGTAGGGAGGAGTGTGACTCATATAATGTCTTTGGTATGAACGTGAAATTTGTACAATATATTTTTCAACATTATACATATAATTATCTATTAACATTAATTACATGTATTATCAAACTGAAACTTATGGTGTTTTTTTTTCAAATGCAATATCATATCGAGATAATTTCCATTATTATCTTAACTCCGACAGTATTTTCTATCACGAAACGTTTTTAGTGTTTTAATTTCGTTTCTAACATTCGAAATTGAATTCAACAAACAAAAGTGTGCGTGTCTTGTTTTAAAGATAGTACATTTTAGAAAAATAGAGAGTATTCATGATTAAAACATTCCAGGGATTTATTGGAGGGAAAGCAAACTGTACCCCACAACATTTCTACAAGTCAACGTTTTAGAGACAATTTTATCTCAATGCATTTTACACCTGTTTGACAGATTTATTTAATATTTGTTTCATAAAGGTAATTCATAGGTGATATAAAAAGGGTATATGGTCTGATATGAGACTATTATTAAGGGAAACAAAAAATTTCATCGAAGACTAGCAACCTTATTTTGTTCTCTGTAGGAAACATAAATAAACATTTGTTAATTTGTATAGTTCCTCTTATGTGTAAAGCTTTCAATATGTTATTGGACGTTAAATATCAATTTTTTTACAAGAAATATTTAATTGCTATTAAAAAATTGTTATATTTCCTCCTGTGTTATGCGGGATAATTAAACTGTAATTGATCGTTACCGCTTTCTAGATAAATCACACACGCGTACAAATAAATTTTTATATGTAACAAATGTATCCTTTTCAACGAAATCGTTTTAAATTTAATCAATAATTTCAAAAAATGTTCTTTTAAGACGTAATATATTAGCATTTACGACTTCAACATTGACGAAGAATACAAAAAAAATGTTATTTTAATTGTATATTAAGAACATCTTTAAGCGGTCTAGTTTCATAAAATTTATCGTTCCAAACAAATATTTTATTATTATATATTTAGGCAAGCACACACACACATACTCACAAAATAATTGCCTTAGCTCACAGTTAACTGCCAGATTCGACTTGTTAAACGTTAGTATACTATATAAGCCTATTAAATAAAAGCATCATGTACCTATATATTAAACCGTTTGTGCTTTTACAAATGACATGCTTTTTATTTTATTTTTTCATATTTTATTCAACCAACTTTTCGATTTTCTTTTTCTTTTTAGCCAGCTACACCATAAATTGAAATTATTGAGTTCTGAAAAGAAGATTGCAATCTTTCTAGAAAGAATCGATGAATTTTTGACTTTCTGGTATAATGTATTTTTTAGGATGGAAATTACTTTTAAAATGTGTGAAGACAAATTGATCCTCAAATTCATTGATTTGTTTTGCACATATTGAAGTTTTCCTTCAGAACTCGATAGTTTCTTAATTAGAATTTATCTTGTAAATGATCATTGTTGTTTAAAGTTAAGTTACAAAAAATCAAAACAATTAAATTTTCTTATTTTATTCAATTAACTTTGCAATTCTATCCTTTCTTTGACCACCTACACGATAAAATGAAATGATCGAGTTCTGAAGAAAAACTTCAATATCTGAAAGACAAATCTATGAATTTTGGAGGATGAATTTTTGAAAGTACTTTCCTTTCTAAAATAATATCACAGAAACCAGAAAGTAATTGTTGTTGTTTAAATTTGGGTTTAAAAACGCAAAACAAATTAAATTATCGTATTTTATTGAATTAATTTTTTAATTTTCTCCTTTTTCTAACCAGCTACGTAATAAGTTGATATTATCGAGTTCTGACGAAAAACATATCTGTCTCCAGAACAAATCAATTAATTGTTGAGTTTCGGGTTTTAATTTTTTTCGTATGGAAAGGATTTTCAAAGTGTGTGAAAAAATGAGGAATTGCATTTCAAACAAAAGTTGATCAGGTAGTTTTTAACGCACCAACTAAGCCATGGGTGTCTCATGGGTGAGTATTTGCTGTTAGCAGTTATCGTTAATGACGTGCTTAAAATGTGATAATTTATGTTAAATCTTTCTTGTTAAGTGTATTGTTTTGTCAGATAAGAATGTATAAAACAGTCCTAGTATTTTGCAAATTGAAATAGCTTGAAGTTCACCTCGGTAGATGCTGCGCACTCATGACATGTGGATGAATCCATCATGTGTCCGAGTAATGATCCCAATGTGAGTCATCAGAAACTTTTCCTCTTCTTTTCTCCTTCCATCACCCTCCCTTTGCGCGGCACCGACCAATCTCACAATTGAACTGAAAACAAAGCTACCCAACTATTAATTGCAATAATTGATCCAGGGCGTAAAACAATGCCATAATCCAGGGGGTTGGTGGGCATTGTCACGGGGAGGGAGTGGGAGGCAACCCCGGCCACATATATACTCTCTGCCGGTAGACCGACAGCGCATTCTGCTGCAGGACACGACCATGATCACTAAGGTAAGTGAAATACAATAGGCATGACAGGTCTCGTCATTGTTTACTAATTCGGCAATTATTCAAATACGTCGAATTTGAATTTTTCGGTGTTCCAATCTGACGTGGGATATGATTTTGCCAAAACGCCATGATGAAAATTCTTAAGACGAAAAGTTATTGTTTTTAATTGCCTGGTACGAAATTTATCTTTTTCTCCTTATGGCTATAGCGTGTCGTCTTCATTGCGACGAGTGGTAAATTACGTAGAATCGGATCGGGCTCGAACTGTGTCTCTTGTAATCAAGTCGTCTTCCGAAGAGGTCGATGCTCCCAGAAATATTCACGTCGGCGTCCTTGGATGTTGCAGATAGCTTCATGTCGTAAAATTTTCAGCAGTCACGGAAACTAGATCACCACTGTCTTCTTGCCGAGGTTAATGCAGAAAGTCTAACTTTAATATTCCAGATCGTGATAGATAAAGTTTAAACACTATCTTTTACGACAGACCCCCTGCTTCTGTTTGGACTAATAGTCCGATAAACTGGGAAAAATAAAATAAACTGGAAGCCCGCCAGGACCGTTGTCTACGTGACTGGAATTCGTATTAGGGAATCTTAAAGCCTCACCGAGTTAAACGGGTCAGCAAAGTCTTTAATGCAATTACGATTTTCAAATTAATTGTACAGTAATAAATGTGCAACTTGGTCGTTTCCGATCATTACGTTTTGTCTATGTTAACTTTTTTTGGTCAGCCAAACTATGAGGAATGTATGAAAATACTTATTGATCACTCTACAAAACTCAAGAAGAAATTTCAAAAATTAATAAACTCGTTCTTAACAAAATTTAAAATTTGCCTACGTGTTCCTGTAATTATAGTATAACTGAAGTTTATTATTTTTGATTCCTACTTAATGTTAATGAATTGTTAGCTCACCTCATAGGTAGACACCTAGACATCATAGGTACGTCGGTACATAAGAAAAGACATTTTTAGGTTACTCCAAGTCTTAAGTTAAAGATTACTTAGTTTTGATAAATAAAGTTTCATTTGTCCACATTTCATAATTTGAAATAGTTGATTTATTCCTGCCCTGCCGATTTATTTATTAAGTACCGTCACTCTTTCAGCCACGTTATTATTTGTTCATTTTAGGTTGAGTACTAATAAAATTATTGGATAGCAAAGAAACCTACCTAAAATTACTTTAAAGTATTACTGTAAGCAAAACAGTACTACCGTTCTTTTTATTAAATACCATATGACTTAATATGTTTTATATTGTTAATACAACTACGAATAATGTATATAAATGAACGTATTTATTAACACTACAATTTTACTTAATGATCGTAAAAACAAAACATAAAAATAATTTCAAAACATTTCCTTAAAAAGTATTCAATGAATTGTACTAGAAGTATTAATAGTGTTACGGTAAATAGTAATAAATAGACAAAAAAGTAATGAGAACGTATGCGTAACGGTATTGGTAATAGAGAATGATGTTTATGATACAGAAGATTTTGTAATTAACATTCCTAACATAAAGAAGCTTACAAGGAAAGATTTGGCCTCAGGCGGCATGATCTGTTATCTGTTCTTCCATCCGAATAATTGAACAGCCTCACACCCTTCCCTGTTGTTTTTTTATCTGCTCTAAGACTAATCAATGGGCTAAATGGAAACCAAAAACGTGTTCTTGTAGGTAGTACTTGCGCTTTTGGGGCTGGCCTGCACGACCGCCTTCCCCAGTACGTACCAGGAGCAACGGCAGTTCTACTACCCGCAGCCTCTGCCGGTTCAGCAGCAGGTGCTGACGGCCTACCAAGTGCCACAACAACTACCTTATCAAGTCCCTGCTGCCACCCAGCTTCTTCCGTAAGAAAAAACTTAATGCTATTAATATTATATATTTTTTAAAGAATTATTTATTGTAGTGTATTTGGACGCGACAGTATTATCGTCATTTTGAAGGGATTTTATAGGAGAAGTTTGTTTGAAATATGACAAATGAAATATAAAGGGTATACATGTGTGTGTGTGTTTAATTTACGGATCTGCCAAGTTACCGGCCACTGATGTCTTATCCTGACGAGTAGTAGGTACTGGTCTCTAGCATTTGTGTAGTACGATACATCTCTTTCAAGCCTACCTAATAGAAACAATCGCCCATTCAGTTTACTTTTATTTACACCGTGTGTTGTGTAAAATTATGTGTTGGTTTACCTGCAGTTAAAATTCAAATATAGACAGCCAAAGCTGTCTGAAATGTAAATTTCAAAAGGCCGTAATAGAATAGTACCCAGAACTAGGTCCATAGCAAGATTCCAGTGTACAAAACATCAAAACGTGGGCTTCTTTATCTCAAGAATTTAAATTTTAAATAGCTTACCTTTGCACAAAATAGCTTTTTTGCACTCATAGAGGTTTCGCAAACATTTATAATCTCACAATTTTTAAAGATGATGATGGTTTTTAATGATAACAAACGTAAGTAATCCAAGTAGAATTTTCATCTTCCAAATTCTATTCTATGAACCACGTAGCCCATTCCAGCCCGCGGGCGCAAGTTTATTTTATTTTTTACTCCTTATTTTTCATGGTTACAAAATATATAATATACTTGGATCCGTACTTTTAATTAATTTCTTTTGTATGGATCGAAAATATAGAAAACCCACAACCACATGTTTAAGTTAACAGAAATAAATAAAGGAAGAGGGGAGAATTAATGAGTGAGAAAGAGAGAGCGAGAGAGAGAGAGAGAGAGAGAGAGAGAGAGAGAGAGAGAGAGAGTGAGAGTGAGCGAAAGAGATTAGTAAGCAAAAAATAAATATATTACGATAGAGTGAGAGTGTGTCTGAGTTGGATCTTCGAATTTAATATCGGACGACATGAAGTCCACAGCTTTTTGTATTTCTGTGTATCTGTGTCAGCTCGTTTGCTATTTTGTCTGGCTTTTTGTAGATCTAAGTTTTAGTAATCCCATTCAACTCGTTGTTTGTCAATTTATTGAGTACAGTGGTAGGATTGTAATGCAGAACACCACGTATTCTTTTGTCTAAGGTGTATGAATGGATTTCTGACCGTTTTCACAGTCAATTGACCGTTCGTAAATAGTGCAAGGGCAAATTTTTGAGAATTTTTAAAGCTTTCAGATATATTTGTGAAAACAAAGCATTGTTAATGTAAAATAAAATCTGGTATCAGTCAATAGTCCATATATGGTTGTTCTTTTGACTTTTTGTTTTGCAAATTCGTTTAATAAATAGTTTAATGAGTACTTTTTATATTGGATATTACGCAATCATGATTTTTTTTAAATAGTCACGTTTTGCTGATAATATTTCTTCTATAACACAGTAAAACGAATGTTTAGGAACAATGTAAACACAGGAATTCGTTACGGCCCACACCAATTGGTGTACGTCGTGCCTGCTGGAAGCCAGGTTATCTTTGACGAAGAAGGAGGCCAGGGAGGACAAGGAGGAAGCGTCATCGATGGCGTCGTGAACTTGTGGAATGGATTCAGCAGCTATTTTCCCAATTGGGCAGGTGGTGCAGAAAAGCCTACTGAAGGTGCTACTGGCGCTACTAATCCTCAAGAACCATCAAGTATGCTAAAAACAACTAAAAATATTCGATTAATATTTCTGTTGAAATCTCATTTGAATTTGTTTCTACCTTACATAATTCTACATATACGAAATAGTTCCGTGACTGAGTCACAAACCAAATCCCTGGATCTAAAGGGCTGAAATTTCGACGGTGCATTCCTATAATGGCATGGATAGCTACTAAGAAAGGATTTTTTTGAAATTCCATCCCTATCTTCTGTATATATAAAACAGTTCTGTGACTGACTGATAGACAGCACACAAACTAAACCGCTGGATCCAAAGGGCTGAAATTTCGACAATGCATTCCTACAATGATATGGATAGCCGCTAAGAAAAGGTTATTGAAATTCCATCCCTATGGAGATCTTATGGGCAATTGTTTACCATGTATAGACCGAAGTGAACTGAAGAAGTGACGAATTTGAGAAACGGGACTATATTAGAAAGCCATACTAGCACTTTGTATCGCATTTGAAAGGTACTTTAAATAGAGTTCCGTATGGACGAAGACAGGTAAAAGCTAGTAAACAAATAAACATGAAATTTCATATATGCTAGGGATAAGGATTATAATTAAATATGCTAGGGATTGTTAAATATGGCTACAATTAAATACACAGGGTGTCCCGTGAAAGACGTTAATACTTCAGGAGGTTATCCTACATAACAAATTGGAGTTAAAAACCTTAATTGCCAAAAGCCTGATTTTCAATTGTGTTCGAGATATTTCACTTTTCTGGTTAATTCGACTTATCACAATTTTGTTAATCCTACTTTAAATTTTATTACACTAATGGAAAGAGCATTGAAAATCCTATGAGATTTATTAATTGTAACCTTAAGCAAACAAAATACAGAATCATTTAGAAGATAAACTGCTATGTTTTTACGAGTTTCCAATGTTCTTGACTGAAGTATAAGTAATATTTTCTTAGTTCTGTACATACCGATAGATGTAGAGCTTGCAACAAAGCTCCTAATAATGAACAGCAAACAAATGTACTTAATTTCCCAACGGTCAGTTATCACCCATTTAAAATTAACGTTTAATTCTAAAACCTTTCGGTTACAAAATTATTAAGATTTTGAAACTTCTATTAAAAAAATAATTAAAGACTCTTTGGTACAAAATTTAACAAAAGAAAAAATAAAACTTCAAAAAATTAAATTAAATATTCAAAAAGTCTACCTTCTTCAAGAGAACAAGCCAGTCATAGTTTGCTGACAGATTTAACTACACTCAACCTTTTTGCTTTTATTTACGTGCAATTTTGTACCATGTGTGTTTTTGTTTGTTTTATATTACTTTCATTATTTTGTAACCTTTTACATACTTCAATTTGACATGCAGGATAACCCCCTGAAATATTGACGTCTGTTCAAGGGGGTGTATAAGCTTGTTGTGACCAATAATGCATAATATCTATTAATTTTCAAACATTTTTATAACATAGCAATAAAATATATTTTGTCGTTTAACATGCAGAGTCTGTTCTAAAATTCATTGAGATGTTACAATAATAATCCTTTTTAGCGCACGTAACAAATATTGTTCCAAATTTTCTTTTAAAAATTTATTTTTAATTATATTGCAGTTTAAAAAGTTTTTTTTTAAATCGTATTACAGGGTGGATGTTTTGATTATCACGTGGGTTGATGCCGTTAGAGCAATCCGGTTGCCCGTACCGCCTACCGGGAATTGCCATCGAGGTTAAAGTCCTCAAAGGGATGCATTAAAAAATGTTAAATTAGTAAATTAGGCAATTTTTTGATTGGATCCTACTTAAAAATTAGTTTTCTGTCCCAATCTCTTATTGTGCGTAAATGCCATAAAAATTGAAATGATTTAAACATATAGTATCAATTCGTGGTTGTAAACCTGGAAAAATATCAAACTTTCGATTTTAAGTAATCAATTTTCATTTTATTTTAAAACCGGACGGAAAACAATGAAATACTATTTCTCGATCCGTTGTCATTTGAATTGTCTTTTTAATAAGTGGTTTGCTCTTTTTTTTTTTAAAGAAGAAAAGCCAGAAAAGCTGGAGCAGAAGCCACCTATGCCAGTAGAAGCAGAGAAAGAGCCGGAAGGCGCTAAGAACAAACCGAATCAGCAGACCCAACAGCAGCTCCAGCAGCAACAACAGCAGCTCCAGCAGCAGCAACAACACCTCCAACAGCAGCAACAGCAGCACCTGCAGCAGAGGTATTATCTTTTCGGACAGCCTCAACCGTACTTCGCACCAAGGCCGGGATTTTCAAGCCCAAACCAAAACCAGTTGCACTACAGAAATCTCGCTCAGTTGGGAATGGTAATTGTACAAAAGGATTTCTATTGAAAATAAAAGTTAAATTTTTTCTATACCTTCATGAAGTAATGTTTTTTTTTAATTGCCACTTAACTTCAAAACCGTGGGTTAGAAGCTAACAAAAAAGAAATTTGATTAATTCGATGGGCTTTTAGCGTGACCAGAAACCCGGCAGTGCTGCTCTTGGATTTCAAAAATTGTTGCAAAAAGGCGGAGAAGAGGCAAAACAGCCCAACGCCAACGCAGAAACTACGACCACCGAGGCTTCCAGCAAAGAACCCAGTTCATCGGTTTCTCCTTCCGTTGAATCCCCTGTTGAAGAACTCGGTAAGAAATGGCAAAATATCTAATTTAGATATAGGAAATCAAAGTTTTAAGTTAAGTTAGTTTATAACCAAATCGAAAATCAAGCAAAAATCACGAATTTTTTCGTTTCAAATTTTAATGTTGAATTTTACACATTTAAAAGTTATGGAGATTGGATAAATCGTGAGCAACATGAACATCATTTCCAGAAAAAACAATCGAATTTATTGCAAGCTTTAGAAACTTGATATAATATTGCTTGATTATTTAAATTTTAAAAAAAGTTTATGGGATACCAAGTGTTTAATGAACTGTTAGGGAACATTTGTCCAAATTGTTTTTTTGAATAGTTTAATCATTTTATATGAGTAATTTGATTAATATTTAAATCTTTAAATCGCTTCAACATTTAAGAAAAAAATACTACTTACAATTCTTTAGTATATTTATTGAAATTTTACTCGATAAAGAAGCATATGTTGTAGAAAAGTACCGTAACTGCCGCAATGGACTTATTGCACTTCCACAATCACCAATCAATACGGATTTATAGGAAATAATCCTTAATTGTCCAAATTTTATGGATTTACAACAGCGCAAGGCGTTTACCTTTTTTTCTACCACAAGAAAATAATTAATGGTTCAATTCAAGTAAGAAATGCATTGTAGTAGGCAAAAAAAGTTGAGGTAAAGAAAATATTGATTTAAAACAATAAACAATAAACTGAACTATCTATTTACAAGGACAGATTTTTCAATTCATATCGGATTTGTTGCCACGTGAGGGTGAGGTTCTATCATACGGTCAATTATATTTTATAGACTCCCAAAGCTAACTCGATAACCGTTCATGATACCCAGAAATCCCTAGACCGCGCAGTTTTAACAGCCCTCTGTGGCATTTTGGCTACAACCCTCATGCTCAAACATACATGGCTGCAACTGAAACAATGCAAGACGAAAATTTTAACTTGAATACATTTTGTTTATTGTGCAACGATGGATGTGCGTAGGTTTAGCAAATATAGAGCAGAAGAAGTAGCTGGAATTTTTCATTCTTCAGAAAGCGAACAGCCAGTTCATCGACATATCTTTCTGCACTATCGTCAAAGCTGTCAAAGTTAATTTGTGTTTTAAGTTCTCACCGTGATCCCATGTTGTACCTTTTATCGGTCACTGTGGTGAGCCAGGATGGGGTCCAAAATGACCCATAGTATGAGAAAACAAAAACGTCGTGAACATCCAATGTTACAGTTCGCCTGTTATCTATCTGCTATTCGTAATCCGTTCTCCCACGTTCATAAATCAGATCGTTCCATGATTCCGATTATAGAAGGGAGCTATTGCCCCAGCAGGGCAATGGTAGGAAATAGTCTTTCTGTGAAAGCATTTTTTGAACAGTAAAAAAAAACTGCTTAAAATTTGGGTTTCCAGAGAAGACTGTAAGGAGAAACTACTACTTTATTCGTTCTTTCAAAGATCGCGCTTTAAGCTCTAGGGCATGACAAATCTAGCACATTCAATTTATGGTTATGTACTTCTGTACAAATACCCATGTTTATGCGTTTGTTTTAACTAACAAAAGATGCCAGTTTAAAATGATTATAAGGTTTGAAAATTATGTATTGTGTGATAAAAAATTAATGAATTTTTTTCTGTATTTAAAAATAGATCGTATTACATACTCATAAACAGAAAGATTTGTTGATTATCTTAATAATTAATCGTGCAGCTACATGCCACACAACGTTCATATAACTAACAGTTCGGAATATATCAGGGGGACAAATTAATAATAATTAACTGGATTTAAAAGAACATAAGGTAGGAAAAATAATAAATATTTAAGTAATATATGAAACCAATACTCAGTCAACTATCAAGTATGCACTAATAAAAAAAGAAATTTTCAAAGTCCAAGGCTGACCATTAACGAAACAGAAAAGTAAAAATATTTCTGTAGGTGTTTCAATTTTCATACTTTGATGGCGTAGGAAATCCTGTTTACCGTGTTTTCTTCTTTTTTTAATTAAAAGTTACTTATCATTGACATTGATTGCCTCTTATTAAGTGCTTAAGTTGAGATGAATAGTTTAATTTCTTGAGTATAAATTTTACACTTTTTTTTAATATCAAAACGATATTTTTTTGTTTTACTCACTCACGGCCCGTCAAGCATTAAAGGTAGAATTATTATTTTAAAATAAATATTTTTATTGGGCAAAATATACCAATTTTATAGATCACATATAAACAAAGTTAACATTTTTAATACAGTCCTTTAGTTTTTGTTTTGATTTGTGAAATTTATATTTGAATTGGTTACCTCGTATTTGAACAAGACTTTTTTTGGCTACTTTATCGAAAATAAATGATAAATTAACAAGTTGTATTTGGACTGTGTCCAGTGGAAAGTTGCCCTTCGGAAACTTGAGTGTATCCACCCTAGGTGGGTGGATAGCCATCCTTGAAAGACCCGGCCCAAGAAAACAATTTCCATTAAATTCGTAGAAAAAAAGGAAATTTTGTAGGCGGTGATCTTTTTATACCAAGCATTTTATTTGTAATTTACTCGGGGATTTTTAGACATTAAGAAAACCGGTTGACATTTAAAAATAGCAACTTCAACGAAACGACTGTTTATTTTTTTTATAATCAATTTTTCAGAAAACTTACGGTTCGATTGTAAAGTTTAACCTGTTATGAACCATATGAATGTTTAACTATATGAAATAATGGAAACAAAATGATAATTATTTTATTTTGCTTTTTATTTATTTTTTAATAATCTTAGTAATCTTATGGTCTTTGCATACTAGCCAAGGAATATGTCCTTTCAAAATGTAGGATTGGAATATAAATTATAGTGTTAAAAATTTCAAGCAATATAAATAGAAGTATTATCGTCAATATTTTTCTACAATTAACCAAAAATCTCCCTTCAATGAATTCAGTTTTTCCACAATATAAGCAAACGTTTACCTTTATATATTACAATTATTAATGCTAGGTGTTGGTCTGCGAGTCGGCGAACTCATGCTAAACCGGCATTGTATCCGTCTTCCCTCGCTTGTTTGTAGAACTACTCAAACGCGTTTCGGCATTGCCCCATCTTCAGTGAGGAGAATTACAATTATGCTATATAAATAAACATATTTTTTTTCACTTCAGTTATGCTTTTACTATTTGACAAGTGAGAAAAATGTGTAAATTTTTATTGTTCTTCGTGTAAATATAATTAAGATGAAAATTGTACAACTTTAACCCTTATAATGATAAAAATTATTATATATTCATTAATCTGACATATCAGGAACAACTTATAATGGTATACATTTTTGTTTTTGATGTCGAGCAATATTTTTAAGAAGTGACATCTGCTCAATAAAATTGATTTTAATTATCCAAAGAATATTACATGTTAAAAGGTCTAAATAACTGCAGAAAAATATATGTAGATGTAAAGCAAGATAATTTAATTTAATTTATATAATTCATGACATGATTTCAAGCGCGTTTTTTTAAATAATGTACAATTCAAATTTCTATTTAATGGTAAGTATTTTATTTTTATTATCGTTTATATGTAATGATTGTTATGTTTCTCCAAGAAAGGCCATTCAATTCAAACTATATATACTAAGTACTATATTCTCTCTTTCATACTCTTTGTAAAAAATTTACATATCAAGTTTCATGTTTATTTTTGTTTCAAATACTTTTTGGCATATTTTACTTGTATTTTTGTGTACATTTATGTATTGTATTTTTTGTTGTTGTTGAAGGACCGTCAATTGCCCAGGCGAAACCCCAAGCCGTCTCCGTAGCAGGTCCGGGTGGAGTAGCTGCAGCAGCTCCCGTCGGAACAGCAATCGTCGGCCCAGGAGGAATGGCCCTTTCTGCCCCGATGGCCACTGCCGTCGCTGGTACGAAACCGGGAAAACCCCAGGACAAAGTCAGGTCGTACTTCCCCAGGACGTCTTTCTATCCTTACTAAGCCGTAAGAATTCTTGGAGATTCCTTGCGCCTCATCCAACGACGATTGGCGAGTGACGCGATGAATTCTCGACAACCAACGAGTGCCAACATGTCAACCCTTTTCAAGCTAATTTATTACGTTTGGATTTTCTTTTTTCAATAATAAATAAATTAAATTATATCAATTTTTTTATTACAAGTACCCATACTATAACCATAAAATAGTAGTTATGAATTAAAAAAGGACTGACAACGTCATGTTTTTCGGCAAGTAACTAAATAATAACTAGCTATTAAAGAGTAAAGAATAATATATAGTACATGTACGTATTACGTGTGCAATGTTGAGCTTATATCGATCAATAAAAATAAAATAAAAAAGACTTATGGAACAAAACTTTATTATCATAACAATACTCGATGATACAAAATATAAACTGGGCAGATAATCCATTAAAAAATCAAGACAAATTTGTACAATTTTTGGGCTATTTGTTGTTCGCCCTTGATAATCTTTTCCTGCCGTTTGCTGTGGGCAGACTGGTTTTGTTATTTTTCCATCATTAGTTGTCTATTTGTTATCTCTGGAGCTTGTCATTCTTGTTCAACATAAATATATCAAATTTTTTGTTTGAGAAATTATTTAAACGAATCCTTAAGATTAATATGTTCTCATTTTAATTATAAAATACTGACATTATTTCACCATTGCAAACCATCGAAAATTTTCAAAATGTACGTTAATTTCTAGAGTTTAAAAATTTTAAGATCGATTTATAAGTATATGAACAATTTTAGCTTTGTTTTAACGTGAAATATTTGAGCGTCATTAGTTGCAATGATTCAGAATTGGATTTACAGGAATGTTGAAAGGTGAGGGAGAAAAAGTTTAAAGAACGTTGGGATGGGAGAAAGATAGATAATAGATGTCTAGATATGATAGATAGATATATGAGAGAGCTAGAGAGAGAGAGAGAGAGAGAGAGAGAGAGAGAGAGAGAGAAATAAAAAGTGTATTGTTCGAATAATAACTAAGTAAGAGAGAAAGCATAAGAACCTTAGAAAAGAAGAAAGAAAAAGAGACAGAATTTGTTATTAAATGAGACAGAATTGATAATTAATTAATAATAATTAAAAATGTTCAATTTATGAATAAGCGTGTGTAGTAGAGAAACAGAGAGAGGGGATAGACAGATGAATAAATAGATACATAAATAAAGTTAGAGAGTAAGAGAGGGAGAGATTGTTAGATAGATCTAGAGAGTGAGAGAAAGAGGAGAAAGAGAAAGAGGAGAAAGAGACTTAGATAGAGAGGTAGATGGAGATAGGTAAGTGAGAGAGAGAGAGAGAGAGAGAGAGAGAGAGAGAGAGATTGTTAGATAGATATAGAAAGTGAGAGAAAGAGGAGAAAGAGAGGGAGATAGAGAGGTAGATGGAGATAGGTAAGTGAGAGAGAGAGAGAGAGAGAGAGAGAGAGAGAGAGTGTGAGAGGGAGAGAGAGTGAGAGGGAGGGAGGGAGGGAGAGAATAATAAAAAGTGTTTTGTTCGAATAATAACCAATGAGAGAGTTCTTGCATCTATTCAATCGTAATTAAGACTTCTTGATGCGAAATTCAATTTTCGGTCACTGATGTGGTTTATGCTTTTACTTTGTTATGCAATACATAAATGCATTTTAAACGTTTTATCTATTCAAATATATACAATACTTGGGCGCTAAGAAAAAAGTCATGAATTTTAACAACAAAATATGGACAATAAGTCTAAATTAAGTTGGCGAAACATTACATTACTTAAAATGCCATTTTTGCGTTAAATTCGCTTTTATCTTGTTCAGTTCCACCAGAGCTGGTTGTTACATATTTCCATAATCGCAAATCTCCGAAATTACATTCAATGTGACTGACGGCATCCGGCTGAAATCGCATGCCCAACAGTCGGACAAAGCAGCAGAAGTAACGAAATGTTGTGCAAGTAGACGTGCGGAAATAATTGGTAATGAAACCGTGGATCATTAGGGAAAAGTAATAAGTTCAAGATGGCCTGGTCGAATTTATTTTTATTAATCAATTAACCATCAATTGGGAAACTATCCGGGTGATGATAAAATACGTAGGCAAAATTAGGCAACAAATTCTACCTAGAAAATCAACTTTATAGATCAAATAGAAATAAAGCTAGAATAAGTTTAAAAGATACATTTGGCCATTTCGTCAGTTCAAATAAAATATCCATTTAACGAAGTTAATTGTTTGGTAAACTAAGATAAATTATGCATTTCTTTCACTTGTGATTAATTTCTGTTGCGATAGCATTTGCCTAATATACGAAAGAAAGTACTATTTAATGTTGAAACATACTTTCATACGATTATACAACAAATATTTACGCTGACATCATCAATTGTGTAAAAATTGTTTTAATATATATATATANTATATATATATATATGTTCATGTTCATAGTGGTGGAGTCAATTGTTAATTGTTCAAAAATGAAATTACTCACTCTTTAAGGAGATGTTTTCAACGATAAAGATGTGCTATATTGTCAAATGTAGTAGTTTATGAATACTAATTACTTTGTCTTACAAGGATGTTTCCAATATAATACTGTAAAGGTGACAATTGCATTGCCAATTAGGAAAAATCAATTTAAACTGTGCCACCATATGTCGTACAAGTAGTTTTTGTTTAACATAAAAACTTTGCAAATATTATATTTCATAAAATCTAGAAAAATTCCTGAACGAAAATTAAATTTGAAGCCATCCGTCGTTTAGCATTCGTTTCTACTGGACATATCCGTGTTGGGGCCTAAGCTTGTGTACTGGAAAGAGGTCAGTTATGCTTCTATAAAAAAACGAGTGTACATTTCATTTAATGCCCTCAAATACTCTGTGAAATTAGAAACTAGGAAATTCCATATAAAATCCAAAAATTTTAAGAGAATGTTGAATTAATTGTTATACATTCTTAATGAGTTCGAAGATCAGTGGTTAGAAATCTGTTATAACTATCTGGATTCTTTAACTCGCCCTTTTAACAGGTCGAAACGACGTCGTGCTCAAATTGATTATTCCTTCACTATGTTTGGACCTTCTAAAACCGTTATTTAATTACCTAAAATTACAAACACTTACTATTAAAATGTCAAAACTTTGATTTACAAAGGTATTGGCGATGACTTGATAGTAACTTCAACACATTTATCTTTAGCTACAACCTACCTAACTATAAAGATATATATTAATAAATTAAAAATAATAACTCAGCTAAAGACTTTTTCTGCGGAGAACAGTTCTCTTTGAGAAGCTATCAATGACTTTATAATCCACACTAATTTCATATCCAATTTTTCCCCCCGTTCGAATGACATATATCGAGAGATACTTTACGAAATTAAGTTCAAACAGGAAATGATTATCAGCTTGCTTTTAATAGAACATAACTGAGAAAATGAAAAATATTTACCTTTTTGTAACAAAAGAACTAAAATTAAGAAAACTGTTATTACATTCTTACAGATAAACTTAACTACCCATTTGATTGTCTTATTAATGTTTTTATTAGTTTCCTAAATAATCAGTAGATACATAAAATAAATTTTTCCATATTTTACTGTATCTTTTCAATACATCCCTTCTCGTCTTAATCTAGACAAAATGAGACCAATTATTATTATTGTAAAAGTTTAAGTAATATTTACTGTATCTGACTGTACCAGCTAGTTTTGATTTTATTTTTGAAATGTAATGACGGCATATAATGTAATTTTCCGTATGGATGTCAATTTATTCTTATAACATGGGTTCGTAAACTCCCAAATAAAATAATTCAGTTAAAGTTCGTTCAATTTGTGAGGAATAACAAGCCATATAAATGTTTTAAACAGTTCTAAATAGCTTACACATTTCTTTATTGATGTTACATTACGTTACATCTAGTTTTATTTTATTTTCCAACTTCTGTATATTGTGGGCTCTTTATCAACATTTTTACCCTAAGTATAGATATTTCTACAAGCCTGTGTTTTCATAAACAATCCATCCAACAAGCTGTTCTTATTCAGCATCATTGATAATAATAATAACATGTTGCAGTGGAATTTCCTGTTTTTAAATGCCGTGTAGTCGTCAGCCAATGGAATCCTCACATCCTCATTTTTCCTTCAGGAATTCGAATCTTATTTCCGTAACTTTTCTTCTTTTTTTAATAGTGTAATGTAAAAAAATACGCAATCTTTTTCATCTAATATTTTTTAATTTACATCAAACAACACATTTATAGGAGTATTTTACCAAATGGACTGTTGTGTTAGTGCGAAATTTTATGAACAAAGATAAACGTGGTGCCTGCTTATCAATAGAAACTCAGAATAATTTTTTACCTACCTATCACAATTTACTTCTATTAATGTCAATTCTCTGATTTCTGATTTACAAGGTATTGGTGATGATAGTAACGTCAACTCGTTTTATCTTTAGCTTTGGAAATACACAACACGACCTAACTGTAAAGATGTATATTAATAAATTAAAAATAATAACTCAGCTAAAGACCTTTCTGAGGAGAACAGTCCTCTTTGAGGAGTTATCAATGACTCCCTGATCTACATTTTAATTTCATATCCAAGTTTCTCCCCCGTTGGAATAAAATATATCAAGAGATACTTTACAAAATTATGTTCAAACCAGGAAATGATTATCAGCTTGCTTTTAATAGAACATAATTGAAAAAATGAAAAATATTTACCTTTTTCTAACAAAAAAACTAAAATTAAGTTATTATTTATTAAATAATTATTTTCTTTGCTTAAATGTATATTACTTACTTTTTATATATATTATACTTTGCTTAATGGTTATGTTATGAACACGTAGTTGTATGCCCATTTGGCTATTAGTTTATCTATATTATATTCGTATATGTGTTAATGATAAAAACAAAAACTGATTTCGAGGTAACTTTCACACTTTGCTTTTTGGTGCCGAGCGGGTTTAGAGAAAATAAACTTGGCATATAATGGGTGTAAGAATTTACAAAAAAAAGCGATTTCAGGAATTTGTGGCGCCCATTTTCACATGTTTTCACGGCTGTCAGCTGTCCAGTCTTTGGCTCCAGGTATGATATTTCCTAATTAAATAAAAAAAAAAAAACGCTTCCCGTGTTTTCGAGGCGCTAAC